CACGCACGAGGCCAAGGCCAAAGCCCTGGGTTTCCCAGAGAACCTGCCGCCAGTGGGAATGAGAAGCGTGAGAAATGGAGCATGGGGAGGGGAGTACCTACCTCCTTCATGTGGTTGTTGTGAGAATCTAGGGAGATTAAACCCAGTAACTGAAGTGAAAGTACCAACAATGCTTGGCAAATTGCCAAGGCTTGCTTTAAAGACACTTATTAGTCAACAGAATCTGGACTGGTGCTGTACTATTTGCAACAACTATGCTCTCCTCTTTCTTTACTAAAAGAACCTTGATGTTGATGGCAGCTAGAGATGACCGTGTGATATAATTCGGGCCAGCGATACATAAGTAGGAGTATGTTGGGGATATCTCAGAATGTTTCTTTCTTCTGACATAAATAAGTATGTCTTCTTTCCTGGTTCCTTTCTTCTCTCTTCCTGGAGAATTGGAAGTGGAACAGCGCATCTGATCGCCACAGGTGATCATGAGAATGAAAGGCTCTTCATCAAAGCTGGAGTAGCAGAGAGATAAAGGTGGCTGGGGCTCAGATGGGAATCATGGAGGCACTACACCCGGCTTCAAACTCCCTGACTCCAAACTTCTGACCATGGTTGAACAATAACCTCCTCTTTGGTAAAACCACTGTAGTTGGGTTTCTGATATGTGTGGACTTACGCAATCCTAACTGAAAGTCCTGGTCAGCAAACAGGACACATCCTCAGTAATCTCTAGAATGTAACAGGTGCTCAGTAAATGCATGATGAATAAATCAATGAGTGAATGAATGGATTAGCAACAGAATATACAAGTACTAGATCACACAGATAAGTTGCCCTTAGGAAAATGTAATACTTATAGCTACATTTACGTGCTCAGCACCTACCATATGCCCTACATTCTCTCAGTAACCTTCACAACTCTTGGAGGTTACTGTTGTCATTTTTATTTCACAGCTCAGGAACTGAGGCTCAAGGAGGCTGAGCTAACTTGCCCAGGAACTCAACTGGGATGTGGTGGGGCTGGGATTTGAATCCCAATCTAGGTAACATTGAAGCCTGTGCTCCCTCTCTTAGACCAAGCTACTGCCATAATTAACTGCTCACTGGGCACTTGAGCCAATGCTAGTAGATAGTTAGAGAAATTTGGGCTGGAACTCCACCCCACAACCCCCAAGCTATATAAGCATGGACGATTCTTTCCTGCCTCTCAGTTTCCTCATTTGTAAGAAAGATAAAAATGGCACCTTCTTCTTCCTAGGCTTGCTATATTAAGTGTGACATGTTTGTATCAAATGTTTAGCACAGTGCTAGTAAAGGCTCAAGAAATATTGTCTGGGCCGGGCGTGGTGGCTCAAGCCTGTAATCCCAGCACTTTGGGAGGCCGAGACGGGAGCATCACAAGGTCAGGAGGTCGAGACCATCCTGGCTAACACAGTGAAACCCCATCTCTACTAAAAAATACAAAAAATTAGCCGGGCGTGGTGGCGGGCGCCTGTAGTCCCAGCTACTCAGGAGGCTGAGGCAGGAGAATGGCGTGAACCCGAGAGGCGGAGCTTGCAGTGAGCCGAGATCCGGCCACTGCACCCCAGCCTGGGCGACGGAGCGAGACTGTTTCAAAAAAAAAAAAAAAAAAAGAAAAGAAAAGATATATTGCCTGTCAGCATTATTTGTATCATCATCTTGAAAACCCCCTGCAAGAATCTATGAAAAGAAAGAGGGCTGGCCCCAAACAAAAGGCTCCAGAGGAGATGCTGGGGTGAGCCGGGGCCTTGCAGCTGTCAAAGCCTGTGTGTTTAACTTTGGGGACTTTGGCTAACTTCTCCATTGGCATCCCCTTTAGCGCACAGCTCCTCATAGCTCTCAGAAATGCCTGGGAGATTTCTCTTCCTCACTTGAAGTTCTAACAATTCGCTGAATTCATTGTCATTCCATGCTGAGGGAGTGTCCCTTGGAGCCTGGAGGCTCACCCTGTAATCCCACACAGGTGTCAGACAATGCCTGATGGGCAGAGAACATTGTGCTCCTGTCTGGCTCCCTGCCGGTCCCACCTTAGCACTGGGAGCAGCCTGGGAGTTGGACGTGTCTGAGGCAAGATGTGGGGCCAGATTTGAGTCTGAGATGCTAATCTGCCCAACTGAAGGTTTCACATCTGTCTTGGCAAACACAGGCACACGAAATCTAAAGAGTCAGTTACAGCTCTGAGTAGGCGGGGTGGGGTCCCCGGGCATTGAATACAGGTAGGGCTAGATGCCTACCCTGACAAAGCAGGCACGGCAAATCCCACAGGGCCCTGGACCACTCCAGATATTGAGTGTGGGAAAGAATGGGGCAGGAAATTGTTATATAATGCTGGGTCTTTGGAATCAGGGCTCTGTTTGAATGCCAGATCTTATGCTTCTTATACTTCCATGGCTTGAAGTATATTACTCAACCTCTCTTAGAAGCAATTTTCTCATGTCAAAGTGGGAAAAATAATAGTACCTACAGTTGTTATGAGTATTAAAGGAGATTTTTAAAATTGTTTTAACTTTATGTTCTGAGATACATGTGCAGAACATGCAGATTTGTTACGTAGGTATACATGTGTCATGGTGGTTTGCTGCACATATCAACCCATTATCTAGGTTTTAAGACCCACGTGCATTAGGTATTTGTCCTAATGCTCTCCCTCCTCTTGCCCCCCCATCCCCTGAAAGGCCCCAGTGTGTGAAGAGATAATTTAATAAAGCTTTCAGCATAGTGTTTGGAAAATTGCTAGTGCTCAATACATACGATAATCATATTAGCATCTAATATATGTAAGCTGAAAGCTACAAAAGCTCTGAACAATCAGTGAGAAACTGTTGTGTGCTCTGGGAGGGATACTGGACTGTATTTTATATTTTTTAATGCTGCTTACATATCCCCTAATGGTGTTAGGAATGAACAGAAATGGTGTTGCAATTCTTAAACATATCTAATTCTCTTTTTTTTTTTTTTTTTTTTTGTAACGGAGTTTTGCTCATCGGCTGGGTTAGAGTGCAATGGCACAATCTCGGCTCACCGAAACCTCTGCCTCCTAGGTTCAAGCAATTCTCCCACCTCAGCTTCCCAAGCAGCTGGGATTACAGGCGCCCACCACCATGCCCAGCTAAGTTTTATATTTTTAGTAGAGACAGGGTTTCGCCATGTTGGCCAGGCTGGTCTCGAACTCCTGACCTCAGGTGCTCCACCCACCTCAGCCTCCCAAAGTGCTGGGATTACAGGTGTGAGCCACCACATCCAGCCCTGTAATTCTTAAAGTACAAGTTTTGTCAGTGCCTGCTGTCTACTCAGCACTGTTTGTTGTTCTGAATAAATAAAATTATGTGACATAATCCCTGCTTTCAAAGCGTGTTCAATGTACAGGTAGAAACAACATAAGCAGAGATAAAAATTATATAAAAATGTAAAAAACCTAAGATAAGTTCTATCACCAAACACTAATCTGGGTGCCAGTGACCACAGTCCCTGAGACAATTCCAAAAATACAGAGTTCCAGGAGGAGAGGAAGGAACGCCTCTGCTCTAGCTGGCTCCCAGGTGTCCAGCAGGTAGCCTTTTGTACAGTGATCCAGAGGCCCAGGCTTTTCCCATCTGTTACTCCACAATTCCCCTAGGGCTGCAGAGACTTCTGGATCTCTCCTAGAGGACCACACGGAGATTTCACGGCCCGGCCCAGAAGTGGAACCCTTCCTTTCCACTAGCACTCAATATTCAGTCACACAGCTATTCCTAACTGCAGGGGAGGCTGAGGAATGCAGTCTAGCCGGGTATCCAGGAAGACCATGGACATCCGTGAGCTCTCCCAGTCTGTGCCACCCAAGGCAAGACTCAAACTACTCATCTGAGAACAAAAGGGATTGAGACACTTAGCTCTAAAGGCTGACCCCATACTGGAGAGCTGTAGGGTCCAACATCGACAGAGATACAACAGCCTTGGTTGTAATTTTAGAAGAGGCCTGTAGGTATCTGAATGGCCAGTTGCACAGATGGAAAATAGCAGTCTGAAGCAAAGAGCTCCAGGCTGTGACTAAGTCATTAGGAGCACCATAACCAGAGGCTCTTCCTTCCGCCCCACTCCACCCCCCTCTCCCCCGGAAAAAACAAATTGATCCTATGCAGCAAGATCTTTGCCAGTGAGTCACGGAGCGGAGCGGAGGCACCAGGCTGGAGCTTGAAGGATGCTGCCAAGATGCTTTGACCGTAAAAATGTTTACAACATGGCTGGATTCAGCCCAGACAGGAAAGGGATAAAAAGAGAAAACAAAAGAAGTGTCACCTTGTGGCTGCAGCTGCCCACAGACAGATCACCCCTGGCAAATTGCTGGTCCTGAGCAAACAGCCTCGAGAAGCAGGCAGGGGAGGGAGGTTAAGAGGACTGGACCACAGACACCTTGAACTCAGAAGATCCAAAACCACCCTGTATTCCATGTCTTGGTAAACTATCCCCATCTAGTAAGCTGCCTGAGTTAGAAAGGTGGGTGTCATCACTGATTCTCCACTCAATCACCAAGCCCCATGGATCGGAATTATCTCATAATATCTCATCTACCCACCTCTACATCCCTGCCTTAGTTCAGGGTCCCCCACTTCCTCACCTGGGCTAACAGATCTACAACTTGACTCCAGTTTTCCCTCCTTCCATAATTCATTTAGTCCTCTAACAGATATTTATTGAGCATTCGGACACTAGGATGGTCACAGATACTAGGATATCTGCCTTCCCAATGTCCTTTATCATCTTCTTCCTCACCAACTGAATCCCAATTTGGTAACATGCACCTTCAAAAAAATATCACCTTCACAGCCTTCTTTGCAACTAAAGGCTACCTAGGCAGATATCTCTGGAAACGGCATCTTTCCTTGAACGTAAAAAAAGAAAGGTGGGGAGGCTTCCAAGGAAAAAGCATTTTTCTCCTTCCCCTTAGCCCTTGTTCTCCTTTCAGCATGAAGTGTGGACGTGAGGCCTGGAGATGTAGCACCCACCTTATAATCATGAGGAAGAATGCCACGTGTGGAGGATGGTGCCGCAGGAATCTGGAAGAGCTGGATCCTGGACGACTTGCTCAAGCAGCTGCATGTTCCTCCTGCCACCTACTTCTGGATATTGTGTTAGGTGGGTGTCTTCATTTCCTGCTGCTGCTGTAACAAATGACCACAAACTTAGTGCCTTAAAACAACATGTATTTATCTCTTCCAGTTCTAGGGGTCAGAAGTGCAAAATCAGTTTCTTGGGGTTAAACCAAGGTGTTGGCAGAGCTGGTTCCTTCTGTTTCCTCTAAGGGAGTAATTCTTTTCCTTGACCCTTTTGATTTCTAGTGGTCACATTTGTGCCTCAGCTTGTGGCCTCTCCCTTTCTCTTCAAAGTACATCCCTGCAATCTCTGCTTTCATCATCATGCCTCTTCTCTTCTCTGGCTCCTGCTGCGTCCTTCTTTTAAGGACCCTTGTGAGAACATCAGGACAATCAGGATACATCAGGGATATGAGGATAATCCAAGATAATCTTTCCATTTCAAGATCCTTAATTTAACCACATCTGAAAAGTCCCCTTTGCCATATAAGGAATCATATTCCCAGGTTACAAAAATTAGGACAAGGACATCTTTGAGGGCCATTATTCAGCCTAATACAGGAGGAAAAAGCAAACCGTTTACTTGTGTCAACCACTATTTTAGGATTACCTATGGCTCACAACTCAGAGTTGAAAGCGATCAGAGCTGATACCACTGCCCTCTGTGTCCCAGGCACTGTGCTCGGTGCTGAAGATGTTCCAACCAGGCTGAGTACCCCTAGCACAGAGTCTGCCATCTGTGTTTGCAGCTATGTATTTGCTTTTGACTGCCTTCTGTGAACTCCACAGGGCAGGAGATGGGTAACTTACTCTTTTCTGTGGTCTCACACCAACCCAGGGCCTGACACTTGCAGTGCTCAAAGAACGTTGGGTAAGCAAATGAACTCAAAAACTCAGCAATGAACGCAAAAACTCAGCTGTCATGACTTAGCTACCAACTCCTAAAGACAGAAACCTGAGTTACTTCTAAGCATCACTGAACAGTAGTGTGGAGGCTATTGATTAAACACTCTGTCCCAGCAATCCCCAAAGAGAATTCCACGGAACAGATGCTGGATAAAGCAAAGGTGGAAGGTTCCCTGAAACAAATATGTTTCGAAAATCCACACATGCCTACTTCTTAAAGTTTCAACTCTGAGATGTTCCATAATAAAGAAATCTGCTTAATTTCAACTCATCATTTCCCAAACTTACTTGGTACAATGTCCATTTTTACCTTGAACACACATTAATCCCCTATGGAAACAGGGTTCCTTGGCACATACTTTGGGAAACACTGCTCCACCCTTCTCAGGACTGGTCTAGGAACTAGGTCAGTCCACGGCCTGCAGGTGGACTCAGCAGGTGATCAGGCTAAAAGTGGACTAATGCTGCCAAACATAGGAGCAGCCATTGTCAGGAAGGGCTTTGGGGTGGAGCTGGACTTCTAAGGCTAGATGGCATTTGTCCTGGCAGAGGGGAAGGGGGATATAGTCCTCATTTATCCCAAAGCCTGTCTGGCTTATTCCAAATGGCCCAGGTACAGATTCAATGAACCCAGACGAACAGTGTCAAGCAACAGCACCCAAAGGCATTTTTCTTGAATGCCCTGATCCCAAGCCAGCTGACCATTTCCCGGCTACCTCCAGCCAAATGGCAGCCAGAGCATGAGGACCTCCTCCACAACAGCCTTCCTGGATGGGGACTTCCTTTGCTCTGCCATAACAATCCAGGTGACCCTATGGCCCCTCTGCATTCAGATCCATCTGTGTTAAGAGAATGACTGCTCTCTGCTTCCACTTAGCAGCCAGCATTGACCAGGCTCCAGGGAAGTCCCCCACCCCTCCCACCTCATGCACAAACGTTTTCTGGTCTGCCTTGGGGCTCTGTATTCATTATGGGACATTCGTCTATGAAATAACAAAGCTGAACATGATGTTGAAGATCCTCTTCTGTGGTTTTCATATTGATATCTGCAGAGCCCTGGGGGCTCATCAGGGACACCCTGGGGTCCACTAATACAGACATGGGGCAGCCGATGGAGGCTCCACTTTCACCATTTTTGTATTGAACTCCATGAATGTTCATGTCGGTGAAAGAATTCATTTATATCCCATGTAAATAACTTTTAAAAAATTTGTGAACCACATTCCTTTGGTCAAGGTCTTTATATTGCAGATAGGAAAACTGAGTACCAGAGAAGGAAAGGAAGCACCCAAGGCTGCACAGCAAATTAAAGGCACAGTTAGAAGAGACTCCAGGTCTCCTGACTCCCAGTTTCCATCATACTGTGCGGTTCCCAGCATGGGTGGCACCAGACCAGAATAGAGCATTTCATGCAAAATCTTTAAGAGACATACTTTTTTCCCCAATTCCCCAAATGTACTACATTGATAAGGAGGAATTTTAACTTTTATAGGATATAAAAAGTGGCATAAAATAGACTTTCACAAATAAATTTGGATTACAATAAGGAGCATGCTTCCTAAAGGAACGCCCCAGGAACCCCATTTGGTAAGTTAACTACTTTACCTTCCTTCTATTTTGAAGGTTCCACTGGCTATAAAATGAATTTTCATATAAGGATCTCCTTCCATCCTCCAACCCTCCCAAACCCTATCCACCTCTCTTCTCACCAGCTTCTTGGTCATTTTTTAGCAACATTACCCTAGCCAAGGAAAGAAAAGTATTTTTAATCCTGAGAAGGCTTAAAACATGGAATATGTCCTGTGTGTACATATTCCAAAATAGTTAACCACTTTCCATCCCACAAAGAGTAGGTATTAGCCCAATCTACTTCCTGATGCAACCCTTCTCCTCCACCCACCACCTCCAACTCAGGATAAATCAACAAAAAGGACTCTCTTTACTTTTCAGAAGGCATGATAAAGAGAATATACATCTATAGGAAATGTAAGACGCAGTAATCCTCAATTTGCCAACTTGAGGACTTTTGTCAGGAAAGACTTTGTGAAATTTAAGTAGGGTCACAGGACCCACTATTTGTTTCAATCGAGCATGTGCTCTCTCCTGCTCCTTTCTTGCACCCTTCTCCCTTTGACGACTCTCTCATTTGAGTACAAATTAACCATTTGTTTCCAGGGAAGTACACTCTCTGCGAGACTAGAATTACGACCGGAAAACAAAATGAGGATCTGAAGCTCAAAATGGGTAAGTAACCTACTCAGGGTCACACAGCAAGTAAGGGGTGAAGCCCGAATTCAGATCTGGGTTTCAGACTCCAATGCTCGTATTTTCTCCACTGGGGCCTCAGCCTCCAAGACATGTAATATTAACAACATGGTCTAACACTCATGGAGGTCTTGTTATGTGCTAGGCACTATGCAAAACTGCTGTCCTTGAAGAAGTATAAAAATAAACACACCTCCGCAAGGAAAAGGAGTACCTTTCGGATTTTCAATCTCCCTCTGTCCTCCAGTTGAGACAGGCAAAAAACAATCATCCATCTCTGGAACTTACAATTGAATGGTATAAGATCCACAGACACAGGCAACCAATTGAATACTCATCTTTACAATCTGACCTCTTGCATTTGGAAGAAAGAAACATGATCCTCTTAACTCTTCAGATGTCTGTCAGCATATCACATCCTTTGGTCTTGCCAGATCACAGAAATAAATGGCAACATCACTTTCACAGTACCTGTCTGAATACTGGATGTGACCTGCTTCTTAGACATTACCACTCCCCTATGACAATCAAGCATACCAGATATTTTAGGAGAGTTCCAGATTCAGCATCTGTCCTGTTATCTACATAAGTGGCTTGTTGAACCATGCAGTTACCATGTAAAAACCCCACAGATCTGCCCAAATAGTTAACGTGAACCTCGTGTCACCAAAACCTATAGTTTCAGTATGGGCTTGAACTTGCCCCTGGAATTGCTTGAATTTATGACTATTTCAGAGGGGTCGGCTTTAAAGTTGCAGTTCATGATCTCAGAGGCTGGCATGAACCTTTTCTCTCTTTAACAGGTTGGTTTCAGAAATCAAAGATTCCAAAGATTGAAGTGTCATCTGTGTTTTGTAGGCAGGTATCTACTTAATCACTACTTCATTGCCTGAGGAGAGACTCATAATGTGTGTATGTATTCCAAAAGAATTTGGTTTCCCAGTTGGCAATAAATATCATAAGTTTCCAAACTGGGCATGTTGAGGCATTTGACATATCACGCTGCAGATCTAAGAACAAGACAAAGGGTGTTTTTTTGCCAGAATAGAATGGTGGGGAAGCTAAGGACACCCAAAGTTCTCTCATCTAAAGATATTTCACTGCCACCATTTCCATTTTGCTACCTTAGTCACCAAAAATTCTACCCACCATGAATGTCCAGGCCACCCTTCCCTTAGGTTAAAGCCACCCTAGTGTGTCCATCAGTGATGAAGATTCACTGGGCTTCAGGACCCAGGAAAGCCAGCCAGAGGGAAAAGCATTTATACAAAAGCTAAGTCATAGTCAGTCAAAAATATAAGAGTTAGTTTATAGGGATCAGAAGAGAAGCAACGGCACCTTCAGTGTTTCTCTAGCTCCAGTCCTACTGGAGAAATTGTTCCAATCCTACTAGAAAAATTGCTAGACCTTGTTCTCCCTACACTGTCCTTTAACCCCTTTGGAGTCACTAGACAATCTCAGATGTGCCCAGGAGCAAGTCTTCTATTGCTCTTTGACTTCTGCTCCATCAGGAATATTTGCTGTCCCTACTTCTGCTGTCCCCAAAGCCACCTCTAGCCACCTTGTCATTATCACTGCTAGCCTTAGTCTCCTAGCCTTGCCAGAAAGACCTCCTTCCATTCTATTCTCAGCACTCATTTCCTGAAAACCCAATCAAGAGCCTCTCAGTGTTGGGTTGGAGAAGTGATACATATCTGACGTACTGAACATCACTCACCTTCTTATGACTGTCTCATGCCCCCAAAACAAACCTATGCACCTCTACTCTTTATTTAGGGTGAATTCTAATACAGAGTTTTTCTTGATTCCTCCTATAACCCACCCCAATGTTCTTCCAAACTCATCTGAATAATGTTTCCATTATCTCATTTAATCACCACCGCAACAACA